GTTGGGCTGACTGGACATGTGTACAGTCTGCTGGTGAAGCACGTTGTTTGGAAAGGTTTCCGTCAAGTGGAGGATCTGAGGAACGTTCTGTGAATACTTTCGATTGACTTTAAAACATCAGTTTGAGTGAAAGCATGAAAAGCTCATCAAACATCTTGATGAAAGGGAACCACATGAGGACTGCTGAACTTTGTGTAACCGTCTGTATCGTTATAATCGCAGTGCTTCTCCTAACATGTCTTTACTTTTTAACTCTCAGGTGCAGAGAGGCTCACAAGAAGATCGTCGTTGTGCAGCGCTGCTCCATCACCAAAAGGTGAGCCGATGCTCCTGTCCCCCGTCTCGCCAACACATCCTGTAGTCATTAACCTGAAACCCTGCGTACCTGTTCGTCCGCCGTAGTCACGTTCACTCGGTCCCAACGTTTAGACAAACACACAGACGATTCTACACCTTACTGAAGCAGAACACACAGATCATAAAGTGGTTTTAAAACTGCCGTATAATTTAGAAACTGTTGTGTGCAACGTTAAGTTTTCACTTTGCCATGTTGTCTTTTATTTGTTAAACATGTTTTTAGCCATTTAGCCACAAAGAACTTGTTCAGGGTAGTAAACTGTGCAATAAAAATCAGACATGTAATATAATTTGATTTATAGTTGTGGTGTGGACGTTGTGTCCAGGCCAGAACTTGGATAATGAAATGATGTGTATGCTCACAAACCGTTTTATAGAGGGAAATCCGTACATGGAACGCCTTGAGGGAACTGCAGCACAGAAACCTCAGTGAAATACGGCGTTTCAGATTGACTGTAATGATGTTTACTGCAGGTGGTCCACATTTCACTGAAACATATTGTGGGAAATGTGACTTTTGAAGAAAATACTTTTGCCAGATGACCACAGTTCCTTGAATGGAAATGAAATATAATCGCACCAGGGAGTTTGTCACCACTGCTATTACATTTCCCGGCAGCGTATCGTAATAAGTGAGCATTTAGTCTGAGAGTTTTTCTCATATAAAAGCCAAACTCGTCTGACCAGTGTTTGTACGTTACCAGTCACGCCAGTTGGTTTGTCTGTTTCCGTTTTATCGTTCCTCGTTCATAACCGTACTTTTCGTTGCCCAGCTGCACATCTGAACACCTGCACACACTAACGGTTCTGCTGCAGGGATTCTCACTGAAACAGAACCTCTGGCTTCCATCACGTTAGTCTGTCATTTAACACACACACGGTCAGCCATCGGACAAACACCCGCTTTATGTATGTTAATAACCAAATTAATCAAGCTCATAAAAACAATACAGCAATCCACAACGTTTTTTATACGAGGAACGATAGATTTATGAACTAACTGTTACACAACAGTAGCTGCAGGTGTCCAGTGTTGCAGCTGAATGTACCTGAAACAACATGAAGGTTTCTGTTAGCATGATGTCCGTAAGTCTGAGTGATGGGAGCTGTATCCTGTACTGTACAGGCACCTTATGAGATAATTATTCATAGTCCGGACAGATGTCCTGTTTTACCACAACATGCATGTTTAGAGACCTTTGGAGACCCAACCATAGCTTAGCATCAGATAGGGTAACTGACATATGGTGGCAGTAACTGTCTTGCATCCCTCTTTTTCTAATATTTGTAGCCAGAGTTCCATGTTTTATACATACATACATATATATATCTATATAATTATGACTGTGCGTACTCCTCCACTATGCATCACTGACTCTCTTGCAACCTTAACAAACCATCCTGTCCATCCTAATTTCAGTCCAGAGCTTTCAGTGCTACATGCTTGTCATATACGTGCACACATACAACGTGTACAAACAGTGAGTACGGCTTTATACATGCTGTGCAAAATCATTATCCAGTCACTGACAAATCCAAGATTAAACGGAGCAGCAGCAGCAGCAGCACGTGTGTTCTAATAAACCAGGCTTTTGTTTAGCATCCAGCCAAACTGCTCTGTTCTTTTCCTGGTGCTGTTTGTCAGTCCCTTACTGCTTCCTCACCTCTTAATGGTAGTCACTGCAGCATGTTATGAGAAATAGCTCCACCCTGCAGCTTGCAAAGCCAATCACATTTTATCGGTTTTAGAGAGGGTTGTGGTTTTGAAAGAGCATTAACTGTTTGTTGACTGCATTATCAGAGCAAATTGCACAAACGTGATCATTTCTGCGTTCCACAATTTACTGCTGATTGTGTCACGTCCACACATGCATTTATTAATAGCTCTGTGATTTTTCATTCAGCTGTGTCCCACTGCCTCCCACAGACTGTTCTTTTTATATTTCTATTAGATCTATTGCCTCCGAATCCTCCCATCTGCTTGTTCCTGCGTACACTTTTGCTATCTCTTCTGCTTCAAATGTCTCTCCGTTCGCTTTTCCTCCATTCTGCCTTTCTCTCCCTCCTACCCTCAAATGTTTTTCTCTGTCTAGCATCTAACCCTCCCAATCCCTCTTGAGCTTCATTCATGAAAATGCAGATCCACAGCAGGGCAGGAAAAAACGTCAACAGACGTAAACTCCCCTGCTCCACCAACCAGAAAAGGCGCACTATAAAAAACAGGCAGCAGCAACCAGGCGACCCTAATTCAGTGCAGCCTCCACCAGAAATAGCAACTCATGCATGTATTAATCCCCTACAAGCCAAAAATATGTGATTGAAGGAACTCTGCTGCCATTTATTGCTGGGGACAACTCCTGTGCCACAGAAAAGGGCTATTTATCACCAGCTCCTCACATGGTCTGGAGTCTGACTCACATTTTCTAAATATTGCATTTGATATTTAGGGAAATGTATAAATCAGTCATTCACCTTTGCATTTGGTGTTCTCACTTCCTTTATGTGCTGGCATTTTTCCTTTTTAGCCTCCTCCCTAAGCCCCACCACACCTCTGCAGGAAATGCCATGAGTGTACCAGAGTCTAATGTGATGCAGATCCTGGGCTTGAACCTCGCTGTGCTCTGCAGCCACGCTTTATTTTTTGTTGCTTTTGTTTTTAAATGGCAAGTGGTTTAAAAAATGCTGATAAATGATCGTGTCTTTATCAGTATTTCGATGTGCCATTTGTATTTTGGATGAAGCCAGAGGGTTCATGAGCTTTTACTCTGAACACAGTGTTTTCATTTCAGATGTTATCAATATAAAAATTTAACTGCTAACATCCTGATTACTGTCTGCAAAATTACACAAACATCAGCTTTTATGGCAATTTACTTTAGTGCAATAATTGCCACTAATTAGGCCCAGTCCTCTAGCTATTCAGGAGGCAGTTTATTTCCAATATAAATGACTTTCTGATCAGCGTGAGCTGTACGTGTGGATGTCATTTTGCCATGCACAGCTGGCTAACGCCAGACGGACTTAGGTGTCCAACATCGTACCTCTGCTGCCCTGTTTGAACACACTGTCCTGTCATCACTAAAACGGCGCTGTGTGTTGTTTCGCTAACAAACCAGCTTCGACTGAGTGTACACACGCACATTTTTAATGTTGTCTTATCTTGTCGTCTGGCTAGCTCACAGATAAACATTAATACAGCCTGTAGAGTCTGACGTTCAGTTCTAATGCAGCTGGATGTCGCAGAAATGCTAGCTAACGTTGGCACACTAGTCACTGCTTTAGGGCATATTTATCTTCCCAAGATGCTTTGCTCCCATGACACTCTCTGGGAGGGTACTTTTTAGCATTATGGAACCCAAAAACTACATAGCCGATGATATAAGAACAAGAAAATGACTTGTTTTATTTTTAGCAATGCCAACAGTAGCGCCTACATTTTCTGCTTTTAAAAGAAAAGTTCACAGAGTTCAGAGATGTTGTGTGTTTGAGCTCCATGTCTTCCTGAGTTTAAAAAAAGGCTGTAAAATCCTCACCTTGTGGTCTATTTATAAAATGCAGGGCTGTTTTGGAGGAAGAATGCATGTCAGCGCTCCAACCTGGCATTGTAAACTTTGTGGTTATATATGCAGGAAGGGCGCCATCATTTTTAATTGCCTAGTGCCATTCATAATATCTGCCACATCAGTGACCACACTTTGGTGTAACTTAAGGGAACGGTCCATCTCATTTCACTGTTGTGACATTTTTTAAATTGCACTCTTTAGCCCAGAGCACTTCCGTGTTTATCACTGATTACAGATTGAGGACGGAGGACAGCATCACTTGGGCAGCGCTGTGTGCACTGCTGCCCTGCGTACCTTTTCAAACGCTCTGATGTGCTTCACTTCCAGGGGCTGTAGTTGTAAACAATACCACCATACAATGCATTTAATGCTGACATCTGAAATGGGTCGACACTTTTGTTCACCATTTCTGAAGGACCTCAAGTGAGGTACGCCAAAGGCTTCCATGTAGTTTGACAACTAATGGAAAGGTCTGTTGACCAAACATCAACAAGCGTGGTAATTATCAAAGGTAAATGCAGTTGCTAAGTGTCCGTCAAGTCCGTGCAGGTGGCACAACCTTTATAATATCGTAATAATGATGTGTTTCCACACGTGGCCTTTCTGTCCTCCTGCAAACGCATGAATGACGCTGCAAAATAGTCACTAAAGATAACACTGTCCCTTTGAACTGAAGTAATATCAGTTAGAGAGGTGACTCTGTCAGCAAACAGGTCATCACAAAGCCTCATGGAGACTGTGCTGCCATACAGCATCCTACGTCATGCGGCGTTTTGACCAGCAAGTACACAATACACAACATCTGGAGTCATAAACACTGGATACACAATGTGCAGATCCATGCAGGATGCGGGGACACGCCCCTTTGATTTACACTATGCTGCTCCGTCTGACTGTACTGCTTCAATATTTAGATGTTGATAAGAAGCCATATAATTCTGACATATGAAGGTTGTCCCTAAACAGTTCCACGTTAAAGCTTTACCATCACAGCTTTCATCAAGAGTTTGAACAGTGTGCTCGCTCTTCTTCTGACTGTCCATGTTGTGCCTTTTGACATGAACTGACCGCTTTGGTTGTTTCTTCTGCATTAACTGTTGACTGTTTGGTTTTCAAGGCAGAGGAAATCAGACACATGTGAAACAGGAACCACCACCCAAGATGCCTATCAGGAGAAACCTGTCTGCATTGCTTCCACCACAAAGCCCGCGGACCACTGCCAGGAGCCAAGTGTTTGAGGAGGGCATGTGCCCCATTCAGTGCACACCAGAACCCGTGCAGGCAACTGTTGAGTCCAGACTGCTGAGCTCCTCCTGTACCGTGGATCCCAACATGACCTTTGAAGTTGCAGACAAAGATGATCACACTGTGTGTAATGAAACCATCATAATTAGCACCGGCAGTCCGTGTCAGCCACCAAAGTCCACCCATCTGTCAGGTCCAAGCCAACTACGGCACCCTCCCAAGGCCAACGAGCTGAACCAGGTTCCTAGCAGAAGGTGAGGTTCTGTTCATTCTGAGTGATTCAGCAGTAGATATAGTCTGAGACCCAGTTGGTTCTGTCCATTCTCTGGGATGTTAGTGAATTTGTGCTTCTTGGCTATTTCAGAGCTCAGTGATTCTGTTCTGAAGCATTCCAGGATGCAAATGTTTCTTATTTTACGTTTGGTTTTTGCAGAAACTCCAATTTGCACAGAATTTCTTTGGCTAGTCAGTACAGTGAGCAGGTCGGGGACGATGTCTGACCCACGACTTTCTGTCCCTCTGCTGAACTTGCATCAGTCTGAACCTGAAGCGGTGTACGCTTTCCTCAACCAGACCTGTTGTAAGACAGCACTGCTTCGGAAAACGCCGCAGACACGCTTCACAACAGAAACCAGAACTGGTATAACAGACGTACAAGTTCAAAGTCGAGTTCAGGGTCAGAACTGCAGCAGCTGCCACAGCTCATCAGAACCGCACAGTTAATGTCAACATGCGTGTTTTACCAATAAAAACATGAACCCCTTAAAACGGAGCAATCAGTGAACAATAACTGGCATTACTGCAGTGACCCTGTGTGGCCCACAGAACCCCCCAGTGGATGTCCTGGTCATCATGAATCAAGACAGTTCCTTCTCCAAAGCCCCTACGTTCACTACAACTACTTTGCTTTCTCATTTTTATGTACCTATTTTCCAGTGGGTCACCGGGGCCCTGATTGGTGTGATTCTGTTCATGTCTGGCCAATCCAGAGCCAGTGCTTTAGCAGCAGACAGTAGGAATCACTGAGTTCTGGTTCAGACAGAGAGAATGACAATGTTTGACAAAAGGTACGATGGCTAAATACATAGATGAAATATGTGGTCCCCTGCTGTGCCAGAGACGTGAACCGATCCGTCGTCACAGTCAGCCAGAACATGGCATTCCTGATCTACTGCTCACTCCAGGACATTGTCAATGAGCTGCTTTGAAGTTTTTATCAACAAACACAAATTCTGAAAGTCATAAGTATGAGTAGCGTTGACACGGTCGGGGTCGCCCTCACCTGTTAGTCTCAGTGTTTCTGTTGGGAACCAGCTGCCAGGCCAACCCATACCTGGAAGCATCAGGCTAGCTGTGCTGTTGTGGCCCTTCTGCTTTCTTATGAACAAAGGCCAGAAACATGGCTGTAATGTCAGCAGGCTTTTCATTTTAAATCCTTTGCTTTAGCCAGTGACCGATGTCAGAGCAGTCACCCTAACCCTGCCAGGTGTAGGTACCTGATGCTAACGCAGCTCCACCGAAACCCGTTTCTGTTGCTCAATCGTCTCTTTCCAGGACTTGACTGTGCTGCGCCAGACCTTGCCAAAGGGTTTGGGTTAGGGTTAACCGTGACACATCACCGTCTACCATCTGTTTAATGTAGTTCAACAGAGTGGAGGATGCCTGTCCAGAGACATGACCCGCTGACCGTGGTTCTGGTGCTGCTTTGTGCCTATCAGGTCCATTTTTAGCTCATTAAGCTCATGTTTATAAATCTAGATGTTCTGGATCCAGTAGTTTTTGAAGCATCAGGTGCAAAAGTCATTTATTATTATTTAATGTAGTTATATGCAGACAGCACGTCGTACGTCCAGCAGCTCATTTCCTGTCCAGGTTGATCTCTACAGGTCGTCAGAATTAATTAGGCCACTTTAATTCATGCCAATGCTGATTCACGGATAGAGCTTCACCACAGCTGAAGCAGAACTTCTGGCCTGCTGATAACAGATCAGACCTGAATCTTTTCCATCTCTGTCGTGGTCAGATGTCAAATAAAAGCTCAACCAATCAGCAGCGGTTAAGTGTTCAGGCCGTTGAACCCAGACAGCTGTAGCAGTACACATTTCCAGTTGACAGATTTATTTAGCAAAATCTATTGTATTTGTAAAACCTGGTTTTGAGGGAACTAACACCGGCATCTTTTGAATCCATAAAATGTTTGAAAGCTTTCTTGAAAGTCGTCCCTCTGACTGGCCACTGAATCTCTCCGAGCACTCCGTCTGAGTCGTAACTAAACCATGCAAAGGTGCTAAATCCTCCCGACCTTATTCAAAACAAGACGGAGACCAGAGTTGCAAATAGTCTAAGTATTCTCACCAGCTGCAAGTTTCCCAACTGGAACATTGGGCCCAGAGGCTTAAGTCAGCTGAGCAGCGCTTTCGTGTCTTCAGCTGGAAGCAGCAAACAAAGTGGCATCATTTTATTTGTCAGATGAATTTGTTCCTAACCAACCTCAAAATCAAAACCTGTCCTCTCAAACAATGAAACTACTTCACAAACAAACCAAATGGCTTCAAACACGCTGTGTCACCAGGAGCTCGTGTTATTGGAGCTCATCCAGACTTGAGGAGAGCACTTAGCACCTGAGACGGGGCTCGTCAAACCTCAAGGAGAAGGACTGCATGTAGATAGCACCAAACCGCTTTACCTTCCAAACTATGTCTTGGTTCAAGCCCGTTGTCGGTGGCGCTACATGACGAGCAGACACTCGGTGACTCGGTGCATTCGTTTGATTCCTACAGCTGGAAAAAGGGATTTTCTGAGCTGCAGGTGAATGAGTGGCAGAGTTTGTGCAAAGTGTATCAGACAGACAAACATGGAGGTCTGGCTGAGTGAGGAAGCTTCATTAAACATGGGTAGTTACAGGTTAGGGTTAATTACATGAACGCTGATGCCTGCTGTACCCAGAAGATTACCTCAGGCAGGGTTTTTACAGCCCGGTGTTGTTTTTGGTGCCACCAGCATGTCGTAGGCCTCCCTCAGCCACATGGTCAGTCACATGGTCAGTCACATGGTCAGCCACATGGTCAGTCACATGGTCAGCCATGGCGCTGCCTCCTGCAACGCTGAGATTCAAGCACTGCGTTTTAAATGCTCATTATGCGCCTGTCAATTTAAACCTCAGCTCAACACGGACCGGTGAGAGCAGTTTGAGCTACAAGCTCATTTAATGGGGTTAAAAATGTGACATAAGGAGGAGGAACTGGGACCAGTATGAGCCTGAGCACAGTGGTGCTGGCATGTAGACAGGGAGTCCAAACATGAAACACTGAACGCTAGTCTATTCATTTTATACCTGGTGGTTAAATAGGGCCGGAAATACTGCTTCACATTTATTTGGATACACAAATGTTGTTCTCTGTCAAACCTTTGAATGCAGGTATCAGATACCACATCTGTACACAGCTGCACCAGCTCAACGGGACTGTCAGTCATAAGATATTATTACATATGTTTTTATTATTATCTATAAATCTACCTTTTGATCCATGTATTTGAGGGAAAATGTTCCTTTTTCCTGTGTGAAGTGCGACCAGCAGATGTGTGTTTGTAACATGAAGCTTTGCTGTGCAGGCAGCAGATCTCGTCGTTGCAGGACGTGAGACGAGCCAACCCGACCTACATGGGCATGACGTCTGCAGCACAAGGAAAGCGAAAATTTAACCGGTAATGTTTCTGTTTTTGTTTTCTCTTCTATTGAAGTACGTTTTATTTTAATGCCAGTTCCTGCACACATGTATGAGTGTCTGGGCTCAAACTGTGCAGAAGATCACAAATGACTGTACTTGAAGCGTAGGGGATGAGGAACTTGTGCTGATTCCATTTTTCTCTTTGTTGGATTGGCTGCAGCAGCATCAGAGAAGAGCTAACACCGGGTCTTTCTGCACCGAAGCGTATAAAGAAGGACCCTTCAGTGGCTCCAGCTCCCCTCAGAGTGCACCGCTTTGCTGGTGAGTGTGAACAAACTGCAGCTAAAGATGACAACCACATTAAAATGACTAAATATACATACATGCAGTCATAACAGAACAAGCAGCCCTGCTCACTGCGTCCTGTGTGTCCTGGATGGCTGGAGCCTGTAGCTGCGTTCTGTGTAACAGAGCCATGCTTTTATTTCTTCATGTGGCTCCACTGACCAGCCTGTAGCATCATCCAGAGCATTCAGGAATGCACACGTGTTTATTCCTAACACTGTTGTCTGTTGGGTGTCTGTCGGCAGGTTCGGAGAACAGACCCCGGAGAGTTGTGAGGAGCATTTCTGAAGGAAATCTCAACCTCCTTGAACCTCAGAAATCCAGATCTATTTTCTATAAAACATCCCAACATCTAAAGCGAGTGGCCAAGCGGATGTGAAGGACCGGTTTGGCCTGTATGAACATTCTCACGCTGCGCTCTCATCCGTCCACATTCACCCTTTAGTTCTCTCACAATGCTGTGGTTTGCTCTGTGGGTTTCTCCAGCAGATGTGTAGGAAGATGGAACGTAGTAGAAACTGTTGTCTTTCTCTCAGCAGAACGTTCCCTGGATGTACATAAGCGTCGCATTGGTTTGGTCGCCTGTCTATTCTCTCTCTGACCGACTGATTCCATCTGTTTTTTAGAGTCTACAGTAGCGTACACACCAACAACAAAAATAAAGCCGCCTGTCCTGTGCCGGCTCTGTGTTTTAGGTACATTACGTACTTTGAACTGTCGTCTTTCCGGTGACCACACTTCCCAGGGCAGCTACAATAAAACTGCTCAACTCTGAGCTGTTTGTATTTTTATGGGTTTCTTCTGTTTTTTATCTTGTACAGTTACTAACATGGGCTTGTAGGTATATGATCATACAAGTGCTTGTAGCAGAATTTGCCGCTGTTTTTCAATAAATAAGTCCTTTTCAAATGTAAGATCTGCTTTTTGTGCCATTCATGTGTCTCAATGCGGTTTTCAATGAAGCTTCGGTTACGAGATGTTCTGACACTAAACGAGTGATGTTGCTCAGACTCAGACAGTCACGAATACAATGGCAGCAAAGATTGAAGTGACCGAGGAGCGACTCGCACACAACTCTCTTGTCCTCTGTTGAAAAAGCAACCATTTCATATGTCTTTAAGAAGAGAGGTGGACCCTGAACGCAGCGCTCGATGGGATGCTGTTTGTCTATGCCAGTACATGTATTTTACCATTCCGCCACATTCAGTCTGGAAACAAGTGCTTTTTTTTTTTTTGTTTGGCTTTTAATATTTTATTCACAGTTTTCAATTTTACAGCCACAAAATATTTTGTACAGATATGAAAGAAAAAAGAGGGGACGGGCGGCCTGCCAGATTATTTAAAAGATTAAACGCTCACAAGACAAATAAGCAAATATGAGAAGGGGACACTGTGATGCTCAGATTGATTCTGTGCCTTGAATTTAGGCAGACAGTCTTTCTGATGGCGTCATCGTTCCCACAGCAGGGCCAGGACCCGTCCCATCAAATACAACAGTCACTGCTGCCATAACTGTTGTAAGTTCTTTTTAACATGTTCTCTCTTTGTACTGTGTACTGAGTCCTACCATGGATATGTATAATAAAGGCTAGATGTCTGAAGGCGGAGTCTCGAACAGGATCACCGGCGGCCATCTTGATTCAGGGCAGCTCTCTGGTGGAACCTGTGGTCCGTGAAGGAAGGTGAGCGATCTGCACAAACGTAGGTACTCTGATCTCGCTGAAATCTGGACGGATTTACAAACGGTTTGGTTTCTTACAAACGTTATTAACGTGACTACAGTTCAAATTACAAAAATACAAATAAAACACACAATAATTAAAATACTAATTGCTGCTGGCCGTGAGAGTGTGACATCATTATCCATCAGTGCAGAGTTATAGCTACACCTCTGACGTTTAGAACAAACCAAACCGTCTGGAAATCGGTAGAAAACTGAGCAAGTTGTGGTTGTTTAAAAAGTCCATGCACCACCACGACACAATGTTATGGGTGAGAGAGTGGACTGTACCAAGATGGTCGCCAGTGTGGATTCAACTGGCCGACAGCGCGGACGAGACATCTAGCCTTTATTATACATATCTATGAGTACTACAGACCATGCATGGACCTTCCTTTAAATGATGTGTTCTGCTGCTTACCTATTTATTTAATCCAGAATGTTGCTATGGATGTTAGCTTGTTGTTTTGGGTGTTGTACTTACGCCTGTGTCTGGATTGGCCTGTTAGCAATAGCGTTTGTATGATTCTGCCAACCCTGAGGACTGTGGGGGTCTGAAACTGTTAATTAGGAGGACTGGGGCTAAAAACTTTGGGAACCCCTCTGACGTGAAGCCCGGGGCAGCAGCAGCAACCTTCCTGGTCAGAGGCACCAGTTTCCTGCCACCACCAGTCCGAGCAATCTGCACATCGTACGAAAGTTTAAAAGCCTCTGTGGGACATCCAGTGATGGCCGGCCCGTGATTCTGACAGAGATGTTGCCAGTAAACCCAAATCTGCTGTCCAGAACTTTAGCTGCAGCTTTGCACCTGGAACTCCTAACCAGGGATCCTTGTACCCGGGGCTGGACTTCTGCGCTTGTCAAGTGAATAATTCCACGTGAACTGCCTCCAAGTCTAAGGCCATGGTTGATGTTTCCCTCTTGGTTGGGGGTGAATTGCTGCCCCAAGAGAAGGAGCATAACTATCTTGTGATCTTGTTCACAGTGCAAGTGACAAGACGATGGAGCGTGACGGCCAAATGGAGGGCTACACTGTAAGCAGTAATGTGGGCGTTGGACCGGACTGTCTCGGTGAAGAGGAATCGGAGCTGGAAGGCAAAGCTCTCGATTTACAGGTGATCTGCGTTCCAGCCCTCACCTATGATCCTGAGCTAGTTATCGAAAAAATGAGGTACAAACGGTCCTCTGTAGGGTTTGTGGCCACAGCCTGAGAAATAACTGGAGTCACTGGTGGGTTTACACATCTCATCTGGCCTGGGAACACCTCCAGAAGAAGCTGGAACGCATCGCTGGAGAAATGGACGACCTGCTCCGCCTGCTGCCACCACAACCCCACCCAGGTAAGCAGACGTTTAGTATTTAAGGTCCACTGGCAGCTGATAGGCCACCACATACAACTCCCATCTGCAGTTGAGACGGCATAAAATCCATTTAGCAAGAAAGCAGAAAAGTGGAACGAGCAGTTATGGAAGAATTGTTGACGTAGCTAGGCCTAGCTATCGCTGTAGCGTAGTTAGCTAGAACGCTACGCAGAAAAGGCTACATGGCTAAAAGTTACATGTTCATTTCTAAAGTAAACGTACCTACTCTACAGCTTTTCTGCAGTTACTTTTTTATTTTTCCTAAACTTGAAACATGACAGTACTCGTGGCACAAGCACCAGTTTGAGCCACTTCTAGCCGCTCGCATCTTGCAAACATCGTTTACATCCAACTAAGAGTCTCACTGTTGCTGATTTTGGACTCTTCATCCTCACAGATCACTTGAAGTTCTAAAATACCTTTTGGCAGTCTTGTCCAAACAGCATGTTTAAATCTACCCACAAGTCATGTTCAGGTCAAGGGACTGTGAGGCTCAGCTTGGGTTTCTTCAGGTGGGTCCTGGTGGATTTTGAGGTATGTTTTGGATCACGGTCCCGTTGTAGAAGCCAGAGTCCTCGGTTTCACCTTCTTCACTGACTGCATGACATTTGCATTCAGAATTTGATGGTATCTAGAAGTAAACAATTCTCCCCCGTCTGGTGCTTCCTGTGCTGCCGGCTGGCACAAAACCCCGAAGCAGAACATTTCCACCCCCGTGCTTAGCAGCTGCTCTTCTTTCATGGAACGCTGCCCTGTTGTGTTTTGGTTTTTTCTCTGAACACACCTTTTGGTTATTGCGGACAAAAAGCTCAGTTTGAGCCTCATCTGTCCGCAACACTTGTCTCCAAAGCTACTCTGGCTTCTCCAGATGTTGGTTTGCTGGCTTCAGATGCTGACGTTTGTGATGAGGTAAGGGTTCCTCCTCATGCCTCTCCATGTCCACCATGTTTGGCTGCACAGCGGAGCAGTGCACCACCGGTCCTGTGTCAGCTAAACCTTCCTGCAGATTATTGCAGTAATGTCAAGGTTTTGTGTTGCACTTCTGCCCAGAAGACATGCAGTTCTTCTCTGAAAGTCTTCCAGAGCTCCTCCTGACTTCCACAAATCTACGTAGCTGCTCTTTCTTAATTGATCTTTTTTCTACAGTTCGTAGGAAGCGCTGTGCAGCATTTATCCTCGGGACGATATTACATTGTGTGCAGTTCGTTCAGATGTGCCTGTGTTCACAGCTTGTTGTGGTATTTGTTTGTTGTTGTTGTTTTAATGTTGATGAACTGTTTGTTGGTTTGCTGTCTTGTTAAGCTCTCAAGTGCACCATAATGAATTCTTTAAATAAGTAAAAGAAATCGATCAAAGGTTGAAGTGAGGGCCGATGTGGTTTTCTCAGGATCAACACTGATACTGATCACTAATAATCAAAGAGCCCGATTACTGATATTTGGAACCAATATACATTTGCAACTAACATGAAAATGCTGGTGTTGGAATTTGGAAGGACACAAACTCCAACAGGAAACTTTATGGAAATGTTTGTGGCTGGAGGCCACGAACAGAGAGCGGCTGCTGCATCAGGACCAAAATAACAGGTTTATATTCATTCTCTTTTTTGGGGATCAGTTAAAGTATCAAACATTTTAAAAATGCTAAATATGGGAGCTGATCTTTGGCAAAGTTGATAATGGGTTTAAATAGATACCTCGTCAAAAGTCAGAGCTACGATGAAACTGGCAAACGGTGACGAGTTTGTAATGGCTGGACTGTGGACGTAGTTCATTACAGTGAATAAATGAAGGAAATGGCTTAAAATAATTAGTAAATTAAGCTTTTGTCTTGCTTCTGCCATGGCGTTAGCTAATATGCAAAGCAGACCAAACGAATGGCCACAATGCAAGGCCCCCTTTTACTGACCAACAGCATCATCCATTGAAACGTCTCGTCTGAAGGAAGACACTGACAGAGCTGGAGGTGTCTTGAATTGCTGCTAAATACCACTTTGAAATTGCATTTGAAAGATCTTTTGGGCTTTCCTGTGTTGCGGTTTTAGCCTGATCACATGTGGAGGAACCTGCTTTGATTAGAAATCTCTGCTAAAAACCAAAGTAAAAAAATGAAACTACCTCCTGGATCTGTGATGAGGGTGGGACCTGCTTGCTCTGTCTGGAGAGAACTAGACTTGTCACTTTGAATTCAGTCTTGCAACTTTCAGCGGCACAGCATTCAGTGTGATCTTTATTTTTAGCTCAGGAGCTCAATGCATATATCAGCACTGTACTGCGCAAGCACTGACACCCTCTCATGCTCTCATTCACAAGAATCTCTTCATTGTGTGAGCGAGCGAGTGTGTGCGCACACAGGAGGCAGGTCTTGGCTAAAGTTTATTAACTTTCTCTTAGCCAATGGGGCGCCTTGTGCGTTTTTCCTGCTGACCAATGGGACAGACTGAGAGGTTGGAGGTGGGTGTTGCTTAGCAACTGCAGGTAGAATCTGAGATCATGTCGGACCCATTGTTTTATCTTGCCTCCCTGAGAGACATTACATGCTATGTGTTGTCATTTGTTAGTAAAAAACACCTCTGTGCAAATGCGTCACAAAGTTGTTAACTCTATTTCTGTGTGGTTAAACAGAGATCACAGGGACTTTAATGGCACGTCGGCCTCCAGACGGAGCGCTTCCCTCATCCACCGTCTTCATGTTACTACATGGAGATGTCGGATTTAACATCACCAAGTCACTGAAGGACATGCCAGAGACCTTTTTGGTTTTTACCTTCTTCTTTTCTGTTCCTTGCTCCTCATTACAGGACGACAACCTTCAGTGAAGCTCAGCAGACTCT